TGTGTAATAACCAGTATATAGCATTAATATGTGTGTAGCTGTAATTATGTGTAATAACACATGTATATGTAATAAGTTGAGTGTAGCTGTATTACTGCATGTACTAACCAGTGTTTAGCAGTTAAAAGCTGCATGTGTAACATGTTTGTGTAATAACCAGTATGTAGCTGTAATGTGTAATAACATGTTTGTATAATAACAGTATGTAGCTGTAACAACATGTTTGTGTAATAACCAGTATGTAGCTGTAATAACATGTTTGTGTAATAACCAGTATGTAGCTGTAATAACATGTTTGTGTAATAACCAGTGTGTAGCTGTATTAATGCATGTAATAACCAGTGTAGTTGTTACATGTTTAATAACACATATGTGTAATAGGTTTGTGTAATTGTATTACTGCATGTAATCAGTGTGTAGCTGTAACATGTGTAATAACATGTTTGTGTAATAACCAGTGTGTAGCTGTATTAATGCATGTAATAACCAGTGTAGTTGTTACATGTTTAATAACACATATGTGTAATAGGTTTGTGTAATTGTATTACTGCATGTAATCAGTGTGTAGCTGTAACATGTGTAATAACATGTTTGTGTAATAACCAGTATGTAGCTGTAATAACATGTTTGTGTAATAACCAGTATGTAGCTGTAATAACATGTTTGTGTAATAACCAGTATGTAGCTGTAATGACATGTTTGTGTAATAACCAGTGTAGTTGTTACATGTTTAATAACACATATGTGTAATAGGTTTGTGTAACTGTAGTACTGCATGTAATCAGTGTGTAGCTGTAACGTGTAATAACATGTTTGTGTAATAACCAGTGTAGTTGTTACATGTTTAATAACACATATGTGTAATAGATTTGTGTAGCTGTATTACTGCATGTAATAACCAGTGTCTAGCAGTAATAAGCTGTGTGTAGCTGTAATAACGTGTAATAACATGTTTGTGTAATAACCAGTGTGTAGCAGTGTGTAGTAACACATGTATGTGTAATGCGGTGTGTGCAGTTGTGTTGACAGGTGTGTTTGTGTCGTTGCAGGCCTGGTATGACCCAGCAGTGTCTCCGTCTCGTCCATTGGCGTCTCTCAGCTCTAAGTGACCATGTGTTTGTTGTCGTTGGTTCTGTTGGCTCTGGTTGCTGTCTCTCTGGGTTTTCYTGGCTCCTGCTCTTGTCTGGGTCTGCTTGATTTTGGTTTTGGGTCGTCTGAAGCGGGCAGACAGGGTTGTCTGTGTTGATGAGGAGTGAAGCTGATTAGGTTCTTGTTTTCTGGGATGACGCTGGGTCCAGTTTTAATCTGCTGGTTTCTTCTTTCCTTTCACGTTTTATCGGACCTTTTTTTCTTTTCCTGCTGAACAGAACCTTGTTTTAAAACAAACTGGAATCGGTCAAGATGTGAAAATATATGTTTCTGCAAAAATTCATGTTTAAACTGATTATATCTCTGTAAAGTGATTCATCAGCTCAAACCTTCTCATTAAGACTGAAAGTTATTTTTATTCGTCTGATCAATAAAACGGTTTTCAGACTAAAATCAAAGTCTCCAACAAATTAGTTTTAATTGAAACCAACAGAAAACCCTAACCCTAACCAGGTTTTTGAAACATTTTGAGTGTAAAAATATTGAGAACAAACTGGATCACTTTAGGTTCCGTTTGTTCAGGAACACATTTCCTCACATTGGGCCTCATGCAAGAACCGTTGGTACACAGATTTGTTCTTAAGTTGTGCGTACGAGTGATTTAGGAGAATTTGTGACATTCACCAATGTT